TAACATTCTATATAATAAACAAAATGAAAGATCAGTGATGAGACTGGGAAAATAGTATCAAAACACACAAATAAAGGGCTAATTTTCATCATACATAAAGAGCACCAACAAATTAATATTTAAAAAAAGAAGAACATTCCAAAAGCAAAAGGGTCAAAAGATATGAACAGGTAATTTATAGAAGACGAAATACAAAATCACTGACAATGGTCAATCTCACTGGTAATCAAGGGTGCATATTAAAATGAAATATATTTTGCCAATAAAACTGACAAAAAATAAAAAGATGAGCATTATCCATTATTTGTTTTTTTTTTCATACACTTGGGGCTATTTGGAAAGATATTACCCACTGTTGACAAAAGCATGGGAAATGGTTATTTTCCCACACCATTGGTGGGTATATGTTCAACTGGCAGTTTTGTGAAGAATGACATAATATTATCTTTCAAAATCTAATATGTATATATCTTCAACCCTGATTTCCACTTCCAAAACTCCACTTCGCATATTTCTACCACATGAGCACAAAAATGTTTAGTACGGTTCTGTTTATAGAGACAAAACTGGAAACAATGGAAATGTCTAAAACAGGAGAATTATTATATTAAGTAAATTCTGCTATATACAGACTAAAGAATATTATACAATAGTTTTTTTTAAATTATTAAGTATATGGGAAAATCATCAAGATAGAATGACCACATATACATAAAAAACAGAAGTCTAAACCACACATGTTTTTTAAGTTTATAAAAAAAGTTCTAGAATGATAGACACTAAACACTGAACTATCAGCAGTATAGCAGTAACCTCCAAGAAGAGCAATAGGGAGGAGAATGCGAAGAAAGATTTTCACTCTTTTTATGCTTGTGTTTTATTTGAATTTTTCACAAGCATGTATTCATATATGATTAGTACAATTTAAAAAGAATACATTCAAATTTACCAGCTGATAATAGGGAGCTGCAAAATGATGAAAGGGGCTGTGGACAAGTGAAGGGTTAATTCGTGGCAAAAGAGACAAGATTAAAAAGGAATAAGATCAGAGCAAACCATGCCTCAACCAGCTGGATACATCAAAATGTAGTGCTTTGCTCTGGATCTCACATTAGATTTTGGAATATGACTGGGGAACCTGCCTCAGCCACTGACATCAGTATCAAAGATAACTCTGTAATAAGGATTTTCTGTGACAGTACCAATGACTACCGGGATCAGGAAACAAAATTGCTATGACATGAGTCACATTTATTTTTATTAGTCAGCGAGCTGTGACTCAGTGTGGTTGACGCAAGTGGTATTCAATGCAGATCAATTTTACACCTTTCCCAGACAGTAATGGTGTTGGGCCCAAGACAACAGAGCAAGAGCTCTGTTATATTTTGACTCGTCTCAAGAACCCATTTAACTCAAGAGTACTGTAGGATTACAAAGAAAGCTATTCAAACCTAGTATTATTTCTATTCCCAACTACTCCTCTGTGTGAGTCAGGATTACCTACACACTGTGCAACCAAAATAATATGCAGGAAAAAACCGGATACCCAGGCAGATACAGAATACAACTGTTATCTCTAAGCTCTGATTTCAAATTCGATTAATAGGTTTCTTCATTCAAAGGGTCTCGGTTCTCCAAAGGAATGATTTTATAAGAATTATCTGGCTTGGAACTTACAAAAGGTTTATGGTGTTCAAAGAATCTGTAAACCACTTATGATATTTACCTCTCGGTCTGATCTTCGAGGACATAAAGCATCCACTTCATCAAAGAAAATCACACAGGGTGCTGAGTTCTTGGCTCGTTGAAAAACCTGTCGCACAGCACGTTCACTCTCACCAACATACTAAACATAAACAGAGAGGAAATAAAGTGCAGAAAGTTCAACCTTGGGTTTGGGCCAAATGATAGCAAAAATAGTTTTAAATGACATCTACGTGTCAGACTCCAAAAAGTATTAGGTTAAATCACATACAATTGCTGATATTTAATCATTTTTGACCTGTAATAGCCAACTGCATATGGTTCAACTTAATAAAATTGGTTATTATTTAAGATTATAAATGTTATCATTTATAAAATGAAGATTAAGTGGGATGTAAGGTCTTCTCTAGCTCAAAAAAACCCCACAGCTCTATTATATATTAGAACTGATGTGCTAAGCCTTATGCATATAAAATATCCAGCACTGATTTTCATTAATTCAAACATATTTTAAATGCATACAAGTCAGATTACTGTCCTACTGTTATTTCTACACAAGTAATCTTGTTAAATAAAGGAAGAGCAATTTTGCCACACAGCACTGGAGGAGGCAGTCATAATGGCTTATTGTATGTTAAAATCTCAATGAAAATATAAGACATTATGATAAGTCAACAGCAATTCAAGAGCAGCCATAAGATTAGGACGAAGTAATATGAACAGCTATAAGAAATTATTCTTGTAAAATTTCAAATTAGTTGACTGAGCAGTTATTTTCTTAATAAAACTGCTAAATAAGAGTCCAAAAAATCTTTATAGTGCCAACTATTTAATAAAATATCATCTATAGTATTTAATGACTATATGGCCCTAATAAATAATCAAGGCAAAGAATACACCACAAATGACAGTGATGTAAGTATTATTTTCTCATTCGAATAGAACTTCCTTAACCTCACATCCTCCCAGTACTTTTCTTTCGACTTTTGCTCATCCTGCTTCCCTGACTTGAACTGCTTTTCCAACCTGTCTCCAAACGCTTCTTCTTGCATTCTAAAAGATGGTCCTCAACTTTCTTCCCCATCACCCTCTTCTTTGCTCTTAAAGAACTTTGTACTATTATAACTTTTCAGCTCTTCTACTTTCACTATATTAACTTACAAAGTTCTTAAAGCAGATATCCTACTCACATTTTTCTTATACTATCCTGCCCAGCATATAAACATAGTAGTAGACTGATTGATTTTCCCAAAAAATCTAATAAAGCAAAAATTTTATTTGTAATGTTGAACCAGAATGTTCAGTAGATATTTTTAAAGAAAATATATTAGAGCGTTGGGAGAAATAAAGTTTCAGACAGCAACAGAAGAGAGCAATCAGTGACTCAGAGGAAACAATAATTGACACCTCACAGGGCTAGATGAATAGATGGCACAAAATAACCACATTAAAATGTTAGTAATTGTAATAAATTACTTCCATTTTGCAGGTGTGAAAATTCAGGCTCAGAGGTTAACAGGCTTAATTAAGGAGGCATTCATACACCCTAAATAGTAGAGCAGAGCAAAGCTAAAGTAAACCTCCTCACTCCTACAGCGGTGATTTTACCAAAATACCACAATGGCTCAAAGATCTGAGAAAGATCTGAAATTCTGCATGACCATTACTTTTCCCAATTTTAAAATAATGCTTAATGCCACAACAACTTACCATATTTAGTAATTCGGGGCCCTTGACAGATATAAAATTTAGTCCAGATTCATTTGCTACAGCCTAGCAACAGGGCAAAAAGACACAAATAAGACAATATACAATAAAATAGTAACAATAATTCGTGACAAGGCAAGGTCTTTTTGTGGTTTTAGCTCTGTTTCTCCCTTTTTGTCTTTTATCTTTTTTTTTTGAGGCAGAGTCTCGCTCTGTTGCCTGGGCTAGAGTGCCGTGGCGTCAGCCCAGCTCACAGCAACCTCCAACTCCTGGGCTCAAGAAATCCCCCTACCTCAGCCTCCCGAGTAGCTGGGACTACAGGCATGCGCCACCACACCTGGCTAATTTTTTGTTTCTATTTTTAGTTGGCCAGCTATTTTTTTCTATTTTTAGTAGAGATGGGGGTCTCCCTCTTGCTCAGGCTTGTCTCGAACTCCTGCCCTCAAGTAATCTTCCTGCCTTGGTCTCCCGGAGCACTAGGATTACAGGTGTGAGCCATGACATCCCGCCTGTTTTTCCCTTTTTGTAGGCTGCCTCTTTTTTTAATTAGAAGGAACATAGACAAATGGGTAAAAGAAAAATCAAAGGAATAAATGTTAAATTACAACTTTCTAAGAATTACTAAGACAGGCTATAAATCACATGGAAAGGACACAAAATATTTATGTAAATATTTATTTATATAAACATGCTTATGTAAATACGTTTAGAGCCATAGCTTAGAATTCCAGTGAAATCCTAGTCTCTGTACTCAAGAAATGCCTTCTGTGATGACAACAACCATTCATTCATATAAACCAAAATTCAAAAACATCAATATCAATCTTTACCAAGGGTCCACGCTGAGAAACACAATTATTCTGGCTCTTCTGTAAAAGAACCAGAATTATAATCTGAATACATAGATGAAACTTGAACAAAATTTAATTTTTTTCACTACGATTGGTGGATATCATCATGAATCTTGCATTCAGTGTCAGGGTCTCTTTATTTCCATACTACATACTAGTTCCAGAAACTAAATACTTTTTACTATTTTCTTTTCTGTTTCCTTCTTATCAACAATCAATTTTCAGTATGTTGGCTTCAGTAATCACATCCCCTTACTTAATGCTATTTACAAACTTAATATGTGCTGGTGCTTAGAAAAATAGTATTTTATTGTTATGAGTAAATAAAACAACCAAGATTAGCCAAAAACATAATTTAATATCCAATGCGCCGTCACCAAGTTCTGACCTATAAGTGATTCCATAAATTTACTATAGGAAATACTTTGCCTCTGCCATTTAAAGACGTTGCCTATTATTTCTGGTTTCTTGGGCATGTAGTCATGTACTCCCTTGGAGAACCTGATGAAAGTTGTGAACATTCTTCCCTAGAAACAATACATATACACACAATATACTGCCTGCGTACACAGATCCAGTGAAATTGTGAAGTCCATCCATGGATTCCCAGGTAAGAGACTGTGCTCCAAAAGGTCAGATACCAGAAATCTTACTAAACAGAGTGGTATTAAATTGTTGGTAATTTGGTAGGGGGAAGAAGAGGGAAAATTAGAAACTATGATGTTTTAACATTAGCTACACATTTCAAATTAGCCAAGCTGCCTCCCTTCTGTTGTGAACAGGACTAATCAAAGGTAAATGTAACTAATTAAAAACCAAACACTATGAGATCTGCATAAGAGGTAACTGTATCCACCTGGCAAATTCATACACTGGCATGTAGAACCTTCTTTCTGGCTATGTTTTTCCAAAACTGTTGTGAAAAAATGTATATCAATGATTGTGTTGTTCTCTCCTCCCTCCTCCATACCCAGTTCCCTGAAAGCAATGCCTTGTATGAGTACCAAAAGCAAGAAAACTTGGTAAGATAAGTAAAAATAAGTTTTACACATGGCACTACAGATATTTGATATTTACTGAGGAGTCACAAATTATTTGGCTGCTGTGGTACTTACTAAACATGCTATTAATTTTAATTTCTTATTTATAAGTAATTCAATATTTTAAGAAGTTATAAGGGTTAAGTAAATAATATATGGAATATTATACAGACATTAAAAATGATTGCTAATATACTTTACAGGTAGGGAAGATGGTTCTAATAGGCATGATTCCAAAAGGGAGAAAAAGCCAAAAAAAAAAAGGTAAACTGATAAACATATTTACAAATAGGTCTTTAGAACCTAGAGAAGTCTAGAAAACTAAAGGGAAAACAAAACAAAACAAATAACAGACCTTAATAATATGAAGAGTAATTATAAATAAGAAAGAAAATCACACGTATGCCAAGAGAAAAACAGGCAAAGGATATGAAGACAATTCACAAAGAAAAATAGCCAGTGAACATACAAAAAAAATTCCACTAGTAATTTTTTAAATGCAACTTAACATAAACTATAACATTTTTACCTGTCAGGCTGTCAAATATTAAAAGCAATGATAATGGCTATCACTGTTGTAGGGTGTGGGAAATGAATACTCATATCCCTCTGACAGCAGTGAAAACTGATACAAACCTTTAGGAAGGCACTTTGATAGTATGGCTCAAAAGCTTTAAAAACATACACTCCTTCTACTGAAAAATTACTTAGGAATGTATTCTAATAAAACTATCAGTCAAGGAACAAAAATATAAGACCATTTAATGTGGTGTTGTTTTAACATGGGATAATTTCCACAAGTTATAGAACATCTTTATGGCAGAACATTATGCAGGCATCAAAAATATTGATGTCTGTCAACATATATTGACATGGGAAGATGTCCAAGAAATAAAGCTAAGTGAGAAAAGCATGTTTAAAAACTTTATATTTGTAAAAATGTGTGCTAAATTCATATATATCATTTTGGTATGTGTGCACAGAAAAATATCTAGAGGGACTGACAATAAAAGCAGTAGTGGTTAATAGTAGGTAGTAGTGGGGGGATTATAAA